ATATAATTTTTTTTTTAGAAATGTTTAATGCATATAACGGAAGAATTAGTAGATTTCCAATCTTTTCTATTTACAAATAAAATACAACTTTTTTATATAACGCCTCATTTTTCGAAAACGAAAATACTACTGAAGATACCTCACCATAATTATGATAACTTGAATGACCATTCACAACGCAAGATTTGCTAACCATTTTTTTTTTTGAGTTTTTAAAGCTACTTCTTTAAAAACACTTTACGAGAAAACTGGCTTTCTATTTTTTTCTTCAAAAATCAAATTATCTGGCCGTATGAATAAGGTAGGCCATAACTGAAACATGGACTAAAAAGTACTTTCTAATGTTTTTCTTTTTCAGCGCTCTCCATTTAAAAATGATTGTTTGATTTAAAGCCGATTATGATCAAAGAGACTGTCCAATATCAAAGTAAACTCCTCCAACTCTTGAATGAGAAAAGTTGACTCAACTTAGACAGTCTAACTCTTGAATAGGAAAGATTGAATCAACAAGTATTAGCGTTAATGATACTAAACCAAACGATAGTCATTTTATTTAAGGAGTCTGGAAACGCCGGCTATTTTTTTATAAGACTTATGTTCCTCTGTGCTCAGCCAATTTTAGAGTGCATCAAATTTTCAATATTTTATTTTACTAAATTTAATTGCATATATTCTAAGATAAATACCAAAAGGCCAGGAAGTTTTGTAAAATGCTTTTTAAATAGTTCACTCATACTCGATCCACCATATTAAAATAAGACACTTTGAAATTTTTAGAACTTCTATCACGAGTTACAAGGAATAACTTTTAAAGAGTTTAGTTTAGAAACTTCCTATTCAGAATATAACTTAAATAAAGTACTAAAATAACTAAAATACTTGAAAAAACAAAAATTTAAAGCTTTAGTTAAATAAAGCAAAATATAGACAAGTAAACGTAGACTTCAATATTATAGGAGTTAAAATATAGAATAAAATCAACTTTAAATATATCCACTTTGTTATGTCATGTGCATATTATACTCAGCCAGAGAGAGGAGCCGATCATTGAAGATCTCTAAAGAACAAAAAGATTTTTTTTCCTAGTATATTGTTAATTTCGAGCTGTTCAACTGTAATAAAGTTTTAAATAAAATAAATAAATAAAACACATTTTGGTTATAAAATGGATATATAAACATGAAAGTAACAAATAGAGTAAACTTTTTTTAAATTTAACTTTTTCTACTCTGCCATCGTAAATAATTGTCTTATATATGTTTATTTGTACCATTCATGATTCAACTTTCTGCTAACAATTTTTTTACACATAATATAATCTAAAACATCAAGTTGTTTCAATGACAAATTATTATATAATTTTTTTTTTCAACAATAGTTAGTTTAAACAGCCTTTTCCCTAACTTTTTTCTTTCTTTTTTATCAGTTGTTTGCTGTTTTGAAATCTGTTTTTAAAAATCTCAGCTCTAATTTGAGCATGCTGTTTGCAGTTCTAAATAACTTTTTCTCTTTTGTGTGTTAATTCAATAAACAACTTAACAACCACTTTTTTCTTAATAACTCATAAAGACCTTACAATATCAAGACTACATAATTATTTTTTTAAATCTTATTTAGTAAAATATTGCTTCATTAAGGGAGCTTTTGCATCACTTAACATCAAAACCCACAGGTCAGGTTATCCTGCAACTGATATGATATAATTCAGTACAACCTGCTTTATTTCCTTTTGTCTTGTTGGATATTCTTTTTAAGGCAAAGGCCAGAAAAAGTCAACTTAAAACACCACAGTATTTTTATCAAGACACCATCTCTAGCCTTTACTAAAAAAAAAGCCTTGGGGCTCTTGGTTAAGTTAATGTTAAGTTAATCTCGCAATAACACTCTTCCTCTTTAAGAGAAGCTGCAAAAAGGCATTGTAAACATAATTAGACCTGCTCTTATCTTAAACCTTTATCACATCGTCGTAATGTTGCTTCTCTTTCTCTTTTCTACAAATATTATAACAGGCACTGAAGAGCTAGCTTCTCTTGTGTAATCAACTAAAATTCATTCTTGTATTACTTGTCAATATACAATGTCTTATCCTTTTTCTGTGGCTATTCCTAAGTGTTCCAAAAATTTACATTTGACTATTTTTTTCTCTCGAACAATAATTGTGGAATTTGCTTCCGTCATCTTATCCTATCCTGATTCATATCTTTTGCAATCTTTTAAGGCGTTTGTCAATCTTTATCTCTTGCTCTATAAATTTATCTTTTCCTTTCCAATAACTTTCAACTTTAATAGTGGTAGCTTGCAACAATGTTGGAAAAGAAGGTATTGAAAAAAAAACCTAGTGCTTAAAAGATCCGTAATTCACCTCATCTAGTTTGCAAATTTCATAACACACACAGTTTTATTCTTTAATATGAAATATAAACTATAGAATTTTTGAAAAATTTATTAGTTATGTAGATATATTTCAAGGTATAAAGTTGTTATTAACAATTAGGGTTATCATTTGAGAGCTAAGGTATGATTTATTTACGTACAAATTTAGTACAGAGGCAACAATTACTTACTTAAGTTTCCCTAGTAATAAGTTTCAAGTTATTTTAATATAGCTAAAAACTCCTCAAAAAGCTAACCAAAGCTAAACAATTATATATTATTATACCCGTTGAGTATCAAATCTACTTATAAAGACTAGTCTTGATTGGTTTGTCGACCAACTCTAACTCCTTAGTAGTATTCATGTCTGGTTTTTTAGATCTTAATTACGGTTTTGTTTATTGCACATTTTTGCATTGATTTCATCATTATTTTTAATCTGAGATTTGAGTATTTTATTAGTTTAGTTTATTTTTGATTTAAGTGTATTTTTACTGAATTATTTTATGATTAAATCTACTTTGTCTTCGCAGGTTAATGGTAAATAAATTTAAAATAAATTTAATTTAATCTGATCTAAAACAAATTAAACAAATGAGACTGAATTTCAAATTTTAAGTATTTACAAAGTGTTATTAGTATTTATATTATATTTCTTTGCGCTAATCGCACCAATAAATACATATAAATATATATATATATATATATATATATATATATATATATATATATATATATATATATATATATATATATATATATATATATATATATATATATATATATTTACATATATATATATATATATATATATATATATATATATATATATATATATATATATATATATATATATTTATATATATATTTATATATATATATATATATATATATATATATATATATACATACATTTTGTATACATATATATATATATATATATATATATATATATATATATATATATATATATATTTATATATATATTTATATATATATATATATATAATATATATATATACATACATTTTGTATACATATATATATATATATATATATATATATATATATATATATATATATATATATATATATATACATATATTTTCAGCCATTTTTAATTTGAAAAATTTAAAGTATTTTTAAATATTTTAAACTACACGTTTGACGTCCGAGCTGTGTCAAAGACTTGGCATGAAACAGATAGTTTGATTGAATCAAATTCTAATTATAGCTTTTTGATGATTTCCGCGAGGAAATCATAAAAAAGGTAAGGACTAGGATTTTACATACTTGAAAAATATATATTTAAGATAAAAAAACGGTAGCAGAAAAAATACCCCGGGAAAAAATCCCCCCGGAAAAATTCTCCCAAAAATTATCCCCCGAGAAAAACTCTTACTAGAAAAAATCCCCCCTGAAAAAATCTCCCTGGGAAAAAATCCCCCCCGGAAAAATTCCCTCCGAGAAAAAATTCCCCGTGAAATATCCCCCCTAAAAAAGAAAATTTTTTTTTACAGAAAAATTAATAATAAAATAGTTATGTTTATTTATCTTAAATCGTTTTATAAAATACTTCATTTTTCTTCAAAATGTAAGGTTATGCGCTATTTCTCGGTTGTCGGTAAAAAAATAATAATAAAAAAAACTCTCCAATTCCTAATATTCTTTTTTAAAGCTTTATTTAAAATAAAATTTTTCTTTTTTTAACTGTAAAACATGCGCGGAGTATTGCTACATTGACTATCTTATAGCCTGACTCGCAACGGAGTGCTGCTACATCGACTGAGGGTTTGGGTTGGGCAGGCAGTCTATCAAATAATTAAAATATGTATATTTTTTTTCATATTGTTTTTGTCGAGTTTCACTTAATTTTCTTTTATCTATTTTTTAATAATTTTTTTGCTTAAAAGTTCTTAAAATATACCGCTAAATTAACTACAATGGTTTGCAAAAAAGTTCACATACCAGTTCGCAGTTCGTCAGGGTTAGGGTTAGGGCTAGGGTTTCACATTCGCTACCTTCGAGGAATAGCGCATAACTTGGCATTTTGATGAAAAATGAAGTATTTTATATAAATATTTAAAATAAATAAAGAAATAAACATAACTGCATATTGGTAATTTTTATAAAGAAATTATCAATATGCAGTTTGCATATTAATAATTTAAATTTAAAAAAATATGCAGTATGCATATTTCTTTTATTAGGGGGATGTTTCCTGGAGGGATTTTTAACTCGGGGGAATTTTTTCCACTGCAAAAAACATATTGCGTTTTGCAGTGGCTTGGGAACTTTTTTTCTAACACAACTTAGTTATTTAATGCAAATAACTAACCCAATACGGTTCAAAATCCTATAAGTATAAATGCCAACATATATGCAGGAAAGCATTAGTTTAAATAATACCTTAGTTTAAAATTACTTTCTCTTCCTAATTTTAACTTCATATGTTACTTATAAAAAAAAAAATAAGTAGCATATGAAGTTATGAGAAAACCTGACAAACAAATAAACTTCTAAAACTTTATTAAAAAACATACTATTAAGAATCTACAAAGTTTCTTAATTAAACTTGAAAAGTAAACAAAATTTAACACAAATATTAATAAATGTATAAAGTTTACCTCTTTTAACTTTACAAATAAACCCGTTTAGACTGTAACAGTTAATTATTTCCCAATACTTATTATTCATTTTTACACACATTTCTACTTTTCCATTATAAGATAACCCACGAAACTGAGAATGTATATACTGTAGGTATGTATTATCAGACCACACAAACCATGTGTTATACCAACTATCAGTAAGACCTGTATTATAATCAAAATTTTAAAATAAAGATAATTTTATAAACCATGGAAACTAGTATAGTAAAATAAATAATAATAGTACCAATCCAGAAATTATCTGTACTTGTGTTGTAGTTTTGAAGAATGTTTAAAATAAATGCCATTTCTGTTTGATCTTCTATGCTTAACAAATTTCCTCCTTTTTCGAGACAATTTAAATAACAATAATCCCAATCTCTGCCAATTGTATCATTTGTA